ATGAAGACAGATGCTCAAGATACTCACCTGAGATAAATGAGCTTTAAGGAAAAGAGCAATAGGAAACAGAACACTAGCTTCAACTCCTAGCCTTTTGACTCCCCTGGTGGGTGTAAGATAATGGGTACCTAAATACATATGGAATAAAGGAACCAGCAGTGTTATCTTGGGAAAGTCACTTTGATTTCTTTGAGGTCAGCTTCCTCAAGTAGATGGGTTTAGACTTGACTACATAAATCCTTCATGATCTAACATTTGTTATTTCTCTGCCTCTGAGAGTTGAATACTAGATATTTTATTATTAGATGGAAATGATCAAGGAAAAACATGCCCCATCTTCTCAATACAGAAAACCTGGACTTACATTCTATCTCCTTTTCCTACCTTTTTTTTTTTAACTTGCAGCTGACCCTTTAGGTTGGGGAAATCAGGTGCCACTCAGCTGCAAGTTTGTTTGTTTGTTTGTTTGTTTTGAGAGAGAGAGAGAGAATTTCAATATTTATTTTTCAATATTCGGCAGACACAACATCTTTGTTTGTATGTGGTGCTGAGGATCAAACCTGGGCCGCATGCATGCCAGGCAAGCGCGCTAAGGCCTGAGTCACATCCCCAGCCCTCCTTTTCCTACCTTAATAGCACAATTTCATGAATGTATAGTAAACACTTTCATAATTTGCATTAGTTCCTGAAAGGAGACTTAGAGACTCATTCAGAACACCAAGAGGTACTAGCATAATTTAGTTGTAAGCTCAGGGATTCTTAATATGGCCTTGAGGCTTAGATGTATCTGTGAAATCTCCAGTTCCTCAAAGTTTGCAGATCATGCAGGAAAGCTTAAACATCTGAAGGAAAACAAATGTTTTGCAATTTTGGATTCACATGTGGTTGGTTAACCATCCAGAGTTTGGTACCTAAAGACAGAAGTGCCCCATGTACTGAGTGTCTTTTACTAGGCTGCTTCAGAGGACATGATGAGGGCACTYTCCCCATAGCTCCTGGCACTCTTGAGTCCTCTCAGACAGAGGAGCCTCTCAAAACTCCAAAGCCTCTCTAACTTGCCATATATATCAGGATGTCCTGTCTGTGAATATAAAGCTCGATCAAACCCAATACATGTTCCACTGATTTTCTATTCTGGCTGATGGATCTAGGTGACTGATATGCAATGACTGCTTTACTGTAAAAAGCACCTCTAGTTGATTAGCAAGACTGGCTCCTGTCAGGTCCAGAATGTACTGTATCACAGAACCCCGCTTCTTCATATCTGTCAATTTAATTTAGTTCTATGATCAGATAAGACCAAGTACTGTTATTACATTGAGCCACGTAAAATCACTATTTTTATGCGTAAAAATGGCCAACTATTGACAATTTATATGGCTCAATAGGGTAATATCTTAGCTGAGACTATTCTAACAAAGTATCATAGATTGATTGGTTTGCACAACAGAAACTTCTCATATTTCTAGAGGCTGGGAAGTCCAAGATCAAGGTTCAGCACCTAGGAAGGGCTCTCTTTCTGGATTGTAGACAGCTATGTTTTCAACATCTCCTCACATGACAGAGAGTTTTGTGTCTTTTGTCTCTTCTCATCACAAGGGCCCCACATTTGGGACCTTATCTAATCCTAATTACCTTCCAGAGGCCCCATCTCCAAATACCATGACATTGGGGATTAGATCTTCAACCTACAAATTTTGGGGAGATACATATTCAGTCCATAACAGGTAGGATAGAAAATTTAGGAAATTAGTAAACTTATTTTAGAATGATATAAATAATTAACTTTAAAATACAGGAACTAGGGCTGGAGTTGTAGCTCAGTGGAAAAGTGCTTGCCTGGCATGCGTGAGGCATTGGATTTGATTCTCAGCAACACATACAAATAAATAAAGGTCTATCAACAACTAAAAAAATATTTTAAAAAATTACAGGAACTAAAAGGATTATGTGCTCTTCCAAAAAACCTAAGTCTACAGGATATTTGGTAAACTTTATTGAAATGATTTGTTCCAGTATATAATTGTTAAGTTCTAAATGCCTATAGTGCATATTCTTCACAAGAAACTTCATTGCATTATTATGAACTGAGGGGATTTTTTTTTATTATTTAAACAACAGTGTTACATAATGCATTGCTTTTTGTACTTATAAAGATGGAAAAGTATGACATTTAGAGTATTTTGGATATATTAGTCAAGGGAAAAAATATCTAAAAACTTGACTTTATGTGACAAAGAATGATGTTACAAAAGCAATTTTCAAGCTTTTAATCCAAAAGACTGAAATAAAAGTGAAAATTTATTTGAAATTACAAATTACATGTGCATACTTGTGTCTGTGGTTCTGGGGACTGAATCCAGGCCTCCTGTATGCTAGGCAAATGCTCTATCACTGAATCACACCCTCAGCCCCTGTGTGCATACCTTAAAAAAACAATTCTTAGGCAGACAAATCTAAAACTTTGAAACAACTGAATCAAAAACTCATTTTTCAGAGAGTGTAGTGACTGCTTGAGTCCAGAAGTATGAAGCCAGCCTGGGCAACACAGGGAGACTAGTCTCAAAACAATAACCAACATAATACAACAACAAAATACACTTGTCTTTGAGTGGAGATGAAATTTAAACTCTTAATAATGGCTAAACATACCCATCAAGAACCTAGAATTTGTTCTTAAGTCTTAAACATCACTCCAAGTATATAAACGATGATATCTGAAGGATTTTATGCCAATTAGTTGCTTTGAACTAATATACTAATAGTCTGTAGAAAAGGGAGCAAAACCTCTATACGTAGACTCTTAAGGATGTGGGAGAATCTTAAATAAAATATGTGAACTTGTTATAATTAACAAAATATGGTGGTGTTTCTTAGTGTTTTAATTTATTAACTCTAAAGCAGGTATCCTAAGTCCATTCTTTTCTTTTTTTTTCCTCCTTTTTCTTTTAGTAGCACAGGGGACTGAACCCAGGCCCTTGGGTTCAGCACTCTACTACCACTGAGTTACATCCCCAACCTAGTTCTTTACATATTAATAAAGGCTTTCTAAAATATATGGTAATGGCCATGATAATTTACTTAATTATGTCTTTTCCCCTAGGTAATCCCTAAGGTTGGTCCCTCTGAATAATGAGACTACAAGGTAGAGTTTAAAATTAATAAAATGTTACAAATGTTTTATTATTAAAAATTCCAAATTGTCCAATTTTATAGAAGACTTATAGAACTGAATTATAGTGAAGAAAAATCAATGATATAAACAATAACCAGATTAAAATATGACAATATAAAAATCATTGCAGATGGATAGTATTTTCTCAATTTAAAAATCATTAGGGAAGAGTTTGATTTGTTTGATAAGCAAGTCTTAGAGTGAGAGCTATCCAGAAACAATATTAATCAGCATCAGCTGGTATTGAAGACAGTTCTCCAGATGTTTAGATCCAACAACTTAAAACCCTTCATCTGGCCAGTAGCAACAGGAGTTGTCTCTATTCCATCCATGTGTTTGTTTCTCTTGGGTGCCATGTTTTCAGTCAATACTGTTCAAAAGTGAAGTATCACTGTAGTGCAGGAGCAAAGCTAGACAGGACTGAGCCTGCAGAGAATGGCAGTGTCCATGGACTCCAGAGATAGCATGATCCTTGGATCTGCTAGGAGGTAACAGTGGTTCCTGGTTTCATAGTGAGAAAATAAGGTAGCCCTGGGAACTGTAAGATTTCATGAAACTTTACAAACTTTTGTCTTATTTTAATGGCAATCAAGGTTATATATAATGTACAACAGGACTAACATTTTGCCAAAACTTTTTTTTCTTTTACAATTTTTATTATATCATGGAATCCCCCCTTAAAAGGAAAACACACCAGATAATTGATTAATTGGAAAATGATCTAAAGTTCTATTTATTTAACTTTCCTCAAGTGTACCTCTTACACAAAGCAAGTGGGTTACTTGATTCAGAGAACAAGAATTTACTATTTAATGACCAAGAAAACTCCCCTTGAAATTGATAACAATCTGCTAGATTATGTAATACAATTGTTTATTTGGTCTTTTAAATGATGTGGCACCCTTAGAAAATATATTTTGCTTATTCTTTAGATTTTTACAAGGCTTTAGCTACAAATATATAGCACCAAAATCCATTTTCATCATATTAATATTGGCAATAATATTGAGTTTTAAAAACAATTTCATATAGACACACTGGAAAAATTTGAACTCCAGACAAATATGAATATAAAATTTTATAAAATGGGTAATTAAWTTTTTTTTAAAAAGCAACAATTTAAAAATGAAAGGACATTCTCTTAGATAAACATGTAAGTTGAAACTGATTAGATGAAAAAACTTAAGGTCTTAAAAATTCTCTTAAGATTATATCAAAACCCAGTTAACAAAAGATTAAAAGGTACCAATTTTTTTTGCAGGGGGGTACTGGGGGTTGAACCCAGGGCCACTCTACCACTGAGTTATATCCCCAGACTTTTTTTTTTTTAAATGAATTTAAACTTTATTTATTTGTTTTTATGTGGTGCTAAGGATAGAACCCAGTGCTTCACCCATGCCAGGCAAGTACTCTACCACTGAGATACAATCCCAGTCCATGATTTCTTTTATTTTTTATTTTGAGACAGGGTCTTGTTAAATTGCTAGGGCCTCACTAAATTGCTGAGGCTGGCCTTAAACTTGTGATCTTCCTACCTCAGCCTCCCAAGTCACTGGGATTACAGGCATGAGCCACCATGCCCAGCGAGGTACCAGATTTTTTCAAAGTAAACACTGTTATTCTCCCTTATAATTATAATACTTGGGAGATTTCCATATTTAGTTGGATGAGTATTCATATTAAAATTATTTATAAAGAAATTATAAAATGTATTATAGCACAGAACTGGAATGGTACAAGCAAAATACTCAACTTAGTCATACTTTGATAAATACTAGGTAAAAAAGATATTCCTGTAAGATACAAAATTCTACGTAGGGACCAACCTTAACAATATTTAGGAAAAAAAAAACCACCAAATGGGAGAGAGGGGAGCACACTTATTAACTGACTTAACAGGGCAATGCAAATGAGGAAGCCTGGCTAGAAGTTTAAGTGATCAATTCTTTGTGGTAGCCTTAGATACCTGCTCCATGCCTGACTCCAAATCTTGCTGGAATTGCACAGTTTATAAAATCAAGTACAATTCAAAAGTTGTATATGTAAAGAAGGAAGAAGGGAGGGGAAGAGGAGAGGGAGAGACAGTAGAGGCTGGTGTTGGGGGAGGCAGTCAGGTGAGAAAGCAAGCAAGTGAAGCCTTTCTAACTTGGAAAAAAAAAATCAGTGGCTTTTAACTGAAAGGGAATAGTGCAAAGTTAATCTTTGGCCCCTCTGAAATACTGGATATTGATTTTTCAAAAAGCAAACACACCACAGTTCCTATGAGGGAAGCTTTAGCCTGTTAAGAAGGCTTATTACTATAGTACACAAGCTGCTGCCTAGATCATGGGATAAATTGTCTAGCAGCCAAAATAGTAGACATTTTGTGATTCAACTTCAAAAGGTTTTTAAAAAACTAACCATGACAAACTACCTTCCCCTTACTCAGAAATATCTTTTTGTAAATGATCCAGGTAGGCCTTATGAGGCCAGTATTTTTTCTGATCCCCTTCTTCCCAGTCTTCTGTAGATGTGAGTGCGTCTGCTATCTCCTGCTAAAGAGCTGCTATGGGACAGGACATGAATGCAAAATCAAACCCTGTAGCACAGCTGGGGTGTGCAGTGTCACACTTGTCCTCTCGCCACAAGACTCTGTTCAAGCACTCACCTCAATACTCTGAGCAATAAAGACCACTTTTGTTATAGAAAATATTTTTATACAATATGGAAAAAGTGCAAGATGAAAGGAAGCATATAATAGTATCAGATTCTGAAGATCAGCACTTCTCTTTTTTGGCTGGAAAGTGTGTAGTGGGGATTAAATATTGTCTATGCCATTCTGCGCTGCATATGGAACTTCTTGGCATACAGCACAATACCAAGTAATTTACACACATCCCAGTTTCTAACTTCCTTATAGTAACCATCAGTTTAAGTGGCTGTTTTGCAAGTTCCTCAAACCTGAACTCCATCATGTTACCTATGATTTCACATGTTTAGCAGCAGCTTTCTTTTTTATTTTATCCTAAATAACTGAGAGTTGGCTGTGTGCCTTTTTATGGGGGAAGAAAACAACTTTTCTACTCAGATGTTTTTTTACCATTAGCTTTCATAAAAATTTAATAATGCCCACATTAAAATGAAAAACTGTAATAAACATAGACATAAATGGGGGTTGAAGGGAGAATGGGAAAAGGAAAGACAGTGGAATCAATCTGACATAAATTTCCTATGCACATACATGAATATACCATAGTGAATCTTACCATCAAGTACATCCACAAAGAATTAATTAAGAAATAATAACTGGGTAAATGGCAGAAAGATCAATAGAGGGAAAGAAGCTGGGGGTAGGAAAAGGGAAGGGGAAAAAGAGGTACTGGGGTCTTCACCAGAACATGATATATTCCATGCTTTCATTATGTCAAAACAAATTCTACTGTCATTTATAACTAAAATGAACCAATTAAAAATACTTAGACATACTATATTTTTAAACAAAGCATATAACCTGGATCAGCTGATGATTTTGTTTAAAAAACAAATCCCTAGATGTTGCTGAGCTGCACCAGACAAGCACAGTAACCTGCACTGCATGAAGGTCTCTCCCTGGAGGTCTGCTTTGGCTTCTGAACACTTCACCAGATTTTGAGCCATCTGTTTAAAAATCATTGCATTTTGATTCCTTGATAAGGAAAAAATATACCCTTGCCAAGTTCATTTATTCTTAAAAAATGGAAAAGTATCCAGGTTACAAAACAAAGAAAACTTCTAAGTGCCTTATACCTCGAAGGAGCAATTGATATCAGCAATGTCCCTTTTTAATTTAAAAAATTGGTCCTCAAATTATTCTACATAAATGACTTCTGAAACTTATTTATAATCGTATTGTTTTTTGCCCAAGACTCATTATAAGTCATTTAATTAAGCTAAATTAAAACTGATTTTAGTAGAAAGTGGAAATGCTTCAAAATATAAAATACCAGATACTATTGATTTTATAATTTTAAACTGATAACAACTTAAACTAGGAAAATAATGCATATAGCTAACAAAAAAGCTAAACAAACAAACAAACAAAAAGATTTCCAGTCTTTTCCCTTCTACCCAGAAAAATTTTACATCTGATGTCACCAACATGAGCCCTTGGTAAAGTTCTGAAGTCTTCCAAAGATTATACTTTGTTGGACTTACTGGTGGTCTCCTTCAACTCGTTTTTTTCGCACTATGAGAAAAAGAAAAGGGTTTTGGGGAATCCCCATTAGTTTCTACAATGTTAACTTGCTTATAACAAATTTCTGTACAATTCTGTTAGTTTTACAAAAATTAAGCGTGCATTTCCAGTTCACATGACCATTAATAAAAAAACAATTTCCCATCATTGACCATTGTTATTTACCTGCTGAGAACYAAGGGGCTTCTAAATAAGAAAGACTGTCCTAAGCTCAATGACCCTGTGCTTATACAGTGGCAGTGCTAAAAACCTAAAACACAGAGTAGTCAGCATTAGGTTTGAGTCTTCTGTTTATTGAAAAAATGTACACCTAGGCCAGGTGTGGTGGTGCATATCTATAATCCCCATAACTTGGGAGGATGGAGATGCAGGATCACGAGTTCAAGGTGAGCCTCTGAAACTTAGTGAGATTTTGTTTCAAAAAATAAAAAGGGCTAGTAATATGGCCCTTGGTGGTACAGTGCCCCTGGGTTCAATTACCAGTACTGGGTGAGGGGGTGGGGGGGAGAGTATACCTAGGTTTTATAAAGTGATTAATAAGTTACTGAATTAAATTCTGCAATGACCTCAGACAGCTGGGGTTAAAAGGTATTAAAAGTAACAATTTTCATGCTCTTGTGGTTAGATACAACAATGTATTTCCTTAGTCTGAAAGAATATATACTAAAAGCATTTTTGTCATTTTTAAAGTAAGTGACTTGCTATTGTTTTCCAAATTTCCCTTCTCTTTCTTCTACAAAATGAACCAGTTGAGGGGTCTGATGAAATAACAAATGCAGGGGAAAAAAAAAAAGAAAGAAAGAAAATTTCAGACTCTGGTAATGTGCTGAGGTCAATTCTGGGTAATATAAATTTTGGTTCCAAAGTGGCCAGCCAATTAGTTCAGCTGATGGAGTAAAAAAAGGTGCATGTATTTGAGAACTCCCAGCCTCTTTACGGACAGATGATGCCAAACCATCAAGCTGTGCTTACAAGCAGCAAGGATACCAAGTCTTCAGCTTTAGAAATGTTCTATCTGCTCTCTCACCTACCAGCCACCAATAGCATTTCAGTGCTACTCAGTGTTGTAGCTGACTCCTATTTAGAGAGGACAAAAGGCACAACAGGTTCTGAAGTCAGTGCAAATGGGAATGTGGAACATGGCTCTGTCACTTTTCTGTAGTGTGTTCTCTGGTAAGTCAATTAACCTCTCTAGGCCTCAACTTATTCTATGTACCAGGAGAATGATGATAGCTATACATATCTATACCTCCATGGCTGTGCAACTAAAGGCACTATAAGCTGCACTGTGCAGTACTTGAGAATACAGAAAGCCTTTATGAAAGAGTAGTACTCAGCTTCATTATTCACCATAGGAAGATTATATCAGTCACTTTTCCAAGGTGAGGAAAGGCAATTTGACTACTGTAAAGGATCTGTATTTATATGTTACTGTTTTGATACCTTTTTCAGTAAGTTTCTCTGATTAAGTTAGACTGGTCTATTAATTTCCTGCTCTTTTCTGTCCATGGAAGCAAGTAGTAAAGCAATCGACTCTCTAGCCTAATTGACTGATGCCAACAGGTACACCTGGCCTCCCGACCAGGTCATAGACACTGCTCTGGCGTTATTCTGACCGCTGGCTTCTGTTTGTTGGCCTTTAACAGATGATATCAGACGTTCAAGTGATGGCTTGTCCAGCCAAGTAGAGTATCAGGGTCTTATGAACATTTTTATACTTATCTTTGCAAGCTAATTTTAGTCCACAGTAATGAAGAATAAATTTTACTAACATATAAAGGGGGGAAAAAATCAAAGGAAATTTCTGTTTTCCAAATACAAACTTAGCTCATATTTATACATCTCTGAAAAACAGAAATATGTGAAATTATTCAGATAATTCTGTAGGGCAGGGTTTAGCTGTTATCAGTATACCATTTTAGATGTTAAAATGCATGTTACAAAAATGTTACGAACGAGATCTATAAGACAGAGTATAGCAAACAAAAAAGGTGTAGAAAATTGGTTATGTAGTTAGCTAGTGTAAAGATGATAAACAGGATGAGGCTCAAGGTTCAATTGAATATTGTATGTATACCATATAACCTCTTTGCTTTTATATCTGTGACACTTCTTAGACGGAGAGATGGTGAGTAGGTAGAATTATTTCAATGAATAGTTGTGACTAAGAAAATAATAAGAGAAAGATGTTACCAAAATCAGAACACCAAAGACCTGATACAGTCTAATTTGTAAGCTGAAGAAAAATAATATGCCCAAAAGATTCTGTGCAAGTTTTAAGTCTCATTCTTAGATAGCTCTTTTTGAGTTACTACATATCAGGCTGCTGAGATCTGCACCTGACAAAAGATATGGTCTTTAGACTTTCATCAATAGGCAGAGATTAGAGTGTATGGCTGGGAAAAAATTAAGCTGAGAGTGGATGACCAGGAAGTTGCTGCTGYGTGCACAATGTGATGGGTAAGAGCCACTCTGACTCTTTTTTCTCACTTGGTGCCCACTTGTTACTTTTCAGCAATTCCTAAGTTTATCCTTTAGATAATAGGCTGATAAATTTTGCCCTATTAGCAATTATTTGGGCCTAGTCCAATTTCTTTCCAAAACCCAACTCACTGATATAAATTCTTAATATTTCATCAGTAATCAGTTGTAAGTCCTAACTTCATTTTCTCTAAGAGTATTAGGAATAGGGGTTTTTTTTAAAAGTATTATCTTAATCATACATTTAGACATCTAAGATGTTCTCAAATGCTTCCCACATAACATCCAACAAATATAATTTTAGTATCTTCCACTAACTATGCTTCTTAATCTGCTAATGTTACTTTTTTATTCTGTACTTATTAAAACAAGTACTTATGGAAAGTTTATTCTGGACTCAGTATCACATTATGAGAATTAGCTCTCAAAATCTATGGGTCTTCCTCAGCATATAAATAAATAACTTGCTTATTCTTATATCTGAGCCTTTCTTCATTCATTTTTCTCACTCCAGGAATGTCCTCCTTGTCATTTCACATCTGAGACCCAAGTATGCAATCCAATTGGGACCAGAATCAAACAACATGAGTACAGTCTAGAGAGCTTCCAGCACAAAGCTGTTTGCTTCCTCTTTTTTTTTTAATACCTTTATTTATTTATTTATTTTTATATAGTGCTGAGGATCAAACCCAGCGCCTCGCACATGCTAGGTGAGCATTCCACTGCTGACCCAGCCCCCGATTGCTTCGTCTTGATTCTTCTTTGTGTCAGACCTTATCTTCAACATGGCCTCCTTATCTTCTCTAATATATAAACTGTTCAGTGTCTACATAAGGTAGCGTAGGAAATAGTTTTTTCTGCTCTCCATTTTCATCTGTCAAAATCTCCTTATTCTAATACTAGACATTTCTTTTCATATGGTCTGTCAGAAGAGTACAACTGCTGAGACCTTGCAAAGGTTAGTTTCCCCAAGGTGACACTTATGGGCTTTCACCATGCAGTTCCTGCAAGGACAGCTACTGGGATCACCTGCCTGCTGGGAAGGACGCAGGTGACAAAAGACGGTTAGGACTACAAATTTGTTGATGGCATTCTGGGATTTGTTAAGATAGTTTCAAAGGACAAGAAAAATGGAGGATACTCGTGGCTTAATTTATGGCTACTTGGTTAGCAGGAAATTGTAACTTTGAGCAAAGACAAATTTTGCCCTATTTATTCCCTTAATTTTTAATAAGAACCTGCTATATGTCAGACATGATTTTAAGATTAAACATTTGGACATGACCTCTCTGCCAAAAACATGGTCCCTACCCCAAAACATACTATTTCAATGAAGTAGAACTGATTTACTCAGTAAAAGCCATTTAGAAAGTATGACAGAAGCTGTGACAAGTAGAGGGTACACGAGGCACATATGCTCAATGACAGAAGCAAAACTCCAATAGCCACTTATCACTGGAGAAACAAACCAGGGTTTCACTTAATGTGAACTATTACACAATCAGTTGGAATAGTTATTAAGCACCTGAATGACCAAGTCCTTTACTTCCCTAAAAGAAGGAAAGCCGAAAATCTGCATGTTTTTAAAGGTCTTCAATTATTTATGAAGTTCAGCCAGACTACACTGCTCTAGCAAAATCAAATTAAATACCTGGAGAAAAAAATGGAAACTTGTGAACCAATACTAAAACAATTTTAGTATGAGTTTGCAAACTACATCTAGAATTGACAATCCACCAAAACAAAGCCATTTTTTAAAAAATCCGAGTGGCCAAAATTTCCTATAGGAAATACAAAGGACAGAAGGGTTTGAATGTTTTTATTTTTTAAAAAAATGTATTTATTTTTTAATTGCAGTTGGACAAAATACCTACATTTATTTATTTATTTATTTATTTATTTATTTATTTATTTTTATGTGGTGCTGAGGATCGAACCTAGAGCCTTGCATGTGGTAGGCAAGCGCTCTACTGCTGAGCCACAACCCCAGCCCAAATGTTCTTGCTTTTCTTGGTGATCTGGATTAAAGAAATGGAACTGTATTTTTTTTTGCTCCAGAAACTTTAAAAGGCAGCAAACTCGAATATGGCTGAAGTTTAACAAAACTACATCACTTTGAAATATTAACTCCTTTTGAGAAGTCTATTTTAATTCTTTCTAAAATGCATCTTTTAAAATACTTTAATACCACATATCATAACTTAAAAGAAGAGTCACTTTTTGGAAACATGTACAAACAAAATTTTGAGCAACATATTCTTTAATTCAGCTGTGGCTGGAAAGTTTATTTCAAACATAAGTCACAAGCCTTAGCAGCTCAACAGAAACATGAAAGAAAGGGAGACTGCTGTTCTAGCTGTGTGAAGTGGGAAAACAAATGGTGTCATGTTCTGGAGACCACCAAGTGCAGCATTTATGTATCAGTGACTTTACAGCTTGGGGTAAAACTATAACAACTCTTTATTTCATCATCTAAAACTGAATTTCCATCTGGATCTGTTCTGTAAAAAGGACAAGAACCTTGACTGTACTGAAATATTTGTAAATGAGAACAAAATATTTGTTTTATAGAAAATTTCCTTAAAGCTATAAAATATCTGTCACAGAAAATTGGCTTATCACCAACACAATGATCACCATAACCTAGCCAAACTTTAACTCAATCAGTACAAAAAGGACTGTGTAGATTTTAGAAACAAAGAACCAGTAATTTCTCTGTCAAAATTTATTTTGGAAGTAAAATAGATGGTCCCCCAATCTATTAGCTCAATAATATAATTCAGAAACTTGATTTGACACTTCAAATGTCTTACCTAAGTCGTTGTTTTTTGTTATAGCATTAGCTGCCCTGGTTCGGGGTCCTTGCTGTGTAAACTGATACCCAAATTTAAGGATATTTGCATTTTCCTCAAGCATCTTGGCTATTTCCAATTCTACAGCTGTTCCCAACTGTTGCCTCTGGAAGAATTAGAAATGAATATTAGTATTAAGAAACTAGGTCAAAATTTTTCTCAAGTAAATCAAGACTAAGATATTCAAACACATGTTAATAGCTGGTCTCTTTAAATTTTCCAATTCCTACAATGAACATAGAAACAAAACAAAAAAAAAAGTTTTTTTTTTCAGTATACCTCCAGCCCGAATTTTTATTTTTTTATTCTGAGACAGGGTCTAAATTGCCATAGCTTGCCTCAAACTTATGATTCTCCTGCCTCAAGTCTCCTGAATATTGGATTACGAGCATGCACCACTACACCCAGTAAGAAACAAAATTTTAAAAGATCAATACATGATCATACAGACATAAAAAAAAAAAGTGCATTCCATAATGAGACACCACCTCATGTCCATGAAGAAGAGAATGATGGGGAAAAAAAGGATAAGCACATGGTGTGGTGCTATGCACCTATAGTCCCAGGTACAAAGGAGGCTGAGGCAGGAGGACTACTTAAAGCTCCCAGAAGTTTGAGACAAACCTGGGCAACATAGCATGACCCTGTTAAAAAAAAAAAAAAAAAAAAAAGACAACAGCAAGAAGAATATGGGAAAAACTGAGGGTCCCCTCTGCATTTTTGGTAGGAATATAAAATTCTACAGATGTCATGGAAAACCACTTGGCAACTGCTCAAGAATTTAAACAGAATAACCATACTATGAATCAATTCTACTCCTAGGTATGTGCCCAAAAGAAATGAAACTCAAGTTTACACAAAAATTTTTACATGAATGGTCATAGTGGCATTGTTTTTATTAACTAAAAAAAATAAAAACACTTCAAGGATAATAGAATATTATTCACCCATCAAAAGGAAAGGAGTACTGATACATGCTATAGCATGGATGAACCTTCAGAACATTATGATGGTAGGTCAAAAAAAATAGTCACAGAAAGTCATATATTACATAATTTCACTGAAACTTTATTACCAGTTTCCAAGCACTGGTAGAAGCAATGAATGTGAGTGATTGCTCATAGGTATGGGTTTTCTTTTTTGGACAGTTATTTTTCAAATTAAAAAAAATTAGTAACCACCCTGGATGGAAGCATTTCTAACATGTATAATTCTCTCTGCCTCTTTAAAAGTTCGTCTGGATGTGGGTGACCCCAGCATTATGTTAAGTACCACGACTGTACTTACTTAGCCAGACAGACTATGCCCTCAGGGTAACTAGATATTGGAAGTTTTGTTTTGTTTTTTAACAGTACTGTGGACTGAACCCGCTCTACCACTGAGCGACATTCCCAGTTTTTATTTTATTTTTTTCATTTTGAAATGGGGTCTAAGTTGCTGAGGTTAGCCTTGAACTCATGATCCTCCTGCCTCAGTCTGCTGAGTAGCTGGGATTATAAGGTATGTGCCACCATGTCTGGCACTGTTCTTTCATTTAACCTATTCTATTAGTCTACTATGTGTTTGAGATTGTGACCCATTATAAACATAAAAATCTACAATGTTGATCTTGCTACCAGAGAGCTAAAAAAAAAAAAAAAAAAAAAAATGGAGAACAGACTGTCACATGTATGAGCCCTTTCAGTTCAAAATAAGCAGCCATCTCAATTCTCTTAAAATGACTCAGGGAAAGTTGCTTGGTACACATCTTTATATACATTAAGTCAATATTCTGGGTGCTCCAAATGTCCTCTCATCCCCTTTAGTCCCCCTTCCCCCCACCTCTCCCACCCCATGCTTTCCCTGCCCAGGTCCCAAGCCCTACACAGTGTGGGCTCTAGCTATTGCACAACACTGACCTGATTGTCAATTTTAAGCTCTGCCAGGGTTTCATTATCTCTTAAACCATCAATCAGTGCCAGAACCCCAGCTCCTGTAATGAAGTTGGACTCCATATTTAAGCTCTTCAAAGTTTTGTTTACTTTCAGCATATCTGCAAAAGCCTAGAAATTCAAGAAAATATTTGGAGATTAAAATTTGATAGCACCTATTACATGCTGCACATTCCATAAATAAATACATAAATTAACATAACTGCCTTAATGTTTCTCTTTAGATTGTTTCAACCTGACACAATATTGTAGAGGTTTCACATGTTTTCTACTTGTCACATGTACCCTGTTATAATCTTTAGGTTTTTTTGGTCACATGTAATTTTCTACTCCTATTCACATTCTCATGTTTATTTATATGTTATTTCATGCTTCTTTCTCCTAAGTTTCCAAAGCTTTCTCTCAGTTTCTGTGTAGAAATAATTTCATCTTCTCTTACTGCAGCTGGGTCCTGCTGCAGCTGAATCACTGTGAAGCCAAACTGAGAAGAAATTATAGGCTAAATTAATTTCCAAGGCAGAAGACCAGAAAAGATCACGGATAACTAGAACTGAAAGAGCTAAGACTATAGAGAAGAAAGAACTAACTAAATATTAAACTCCTCAAGGAATACTGTCTTTACTCTGCTTCCATTAAATTTCTCTCATGATATGAGGCAATGCTAGTCATTCTGCTCAGTGTTTATGTGTGTGTGTGTGTGTGTGTGTGTGTGTGTGTGTGTCTCGGGGATTGACCCCGAGTTCAATCCCTTATATATAAACACATAATGATCTATACATATAATAATCTGATACATATACACATAATAATATATGTACATACATATGTAATGATCTAACTCAAGTAAAATCATCAAATTCTGATGCTGTGTAAAAAATTGACTTTCCAGTGGGTAAGACAGAAGGTAGCTCATTAGGAGGCTCCTGCAGGAGTCTCAGTGAGAGAAGATGGTGGCTTGGATTAGGGCATAGTAATTAATGAAAATGGTTAAGAAGCGGTTAGAGTCTAGCTAAACATGGAGGTGCATGTTTGTAACAGCAGCAATTTTGGAGGGATTGCAGATGTGTGCCACCAGGCCGGCTAGAATCCAACCACTTCCAGCCTCAGCAACTTGGCAAGGCCCTAAGCAATAGCAAGACCCTGTTTCAAAAATAAAAAAAAATAGAGGCTAGGGTTGTGGTTCAGAGGTAGAGCGCTTCTCCTAGCATGTATGAGGCACTGGGTCTGATCCTCAGCACCACATAAAATAAAAAAGATATTGTGTCCACCTATAACTAAAAAAAAAAAAAAAAAAAAGTCTGGGGCCAGGCACGGTGGCTCACACCTATAATCCCAGAGGCTCAGGAGGTGAAGGCTGGAGGATCACGGGTTCAAAGCTAGCCTCAGCAATTTAGCAAGGCACTAAGTAACTCAGTGAGACCCTGTCTCTAATAAAATACAAAACAGGGCCAGGGATGCTCAGTGGTCGAGTGATCCTGTATTCAATCCCTAATACCAAAAAAAAAAAAAAAAAAAAAAAAGGCTAGGGATGTAGCTCAGTGGTAAAATACCCCTAGGTTAAATCCCTAGCACCAAATAAAATAAATAATTAATTAAATAAAAGAAATTGGTTGGATTCTAGAAACATTTTAAAGATGGTACTGAATGTGTTTTTAAGGCTGTCAGAAAGGGATGTCAAAGATGATTCTTTTGTTTTGCCTGAGAAATAGATCAAAGTTGCTATTTAAGTAGAAAAGATTGTGAGTCAGGAGTTTGGTTTGGGAGTTTGATGTAGGTGTCTATTAAATATCCAAGTAAAGCTGTTGAGTAGGAAGGTGAGAATATGTAAGGAGTTCAGGAGAGAGGTACAAACTGGAGATAGTAACACTGGGAGTCATCAGCATACATAGTTAACATACATGGATGAAATGGAATGAGATCACCTAGGAAGGTGCAGACAGAGAAAAGAAGGATGAAGGCCTGGACCAATTCCAATGTTTAAAGGTTGGGGAGATGAGGAGGAACCTTGTGTAGGGAGCTGAAATCACGTGGTGAGGTTAGAAGAGAACCGAAGGGAGTGAAATTCCCAAAGCAAAGTGAAGGAAAAGGTTCATACCATGACCAGGGATTTATCTCAGGAATGCAAGGCTGACTTAACATACAAAAATCATTAGTATTAATTTATCATATTAATAAAGAACAAAAGCCACATGATCATTTCCACAGAGAAAAAAAAAAAAACTACAAAAGTCTAAAACTACAGAACCATATATGAAATCCTCTGCAGATGTTAAAAGAATATATTAGGTTTTTATGTGCTGATATGAAAAGATCTCTAAGATAAATGTTGAGTGAAAAATCATGTTACAGAACAGTATATATTGCATAATTCCATTTATGTTTTTGTTTTCACAGTGCTGGGGATCAAACCCAGAGCTTTGCATACATCAAGCAAGCACTCTACCACTGAGTTATACCCCAATCCCCATTTATGTTTAAAAAGTTCATAGAAAGAAATGCAGGAAAGGGCTGGGGATGTGGCTCAAGCGGTAGTACGCTCGCCTAGCATGCGCAGGGCCCTGGGTTCGATCCTCAGCACCACATACAAATAAAGATGTTGTGTCCACTGAAAATTAAAAAAAAAATCTCTCTCTTAAAAAAAAAAAAAAAAAGAAATGCAGGAAAAAATAAACACAAAAAGGTAGTAAATAATGAATTGCCTAATAGTGAGCTTAAACATCAACTGAAAAAAGGGACTAAATCTTGTTTATAAAAAATCAGTTTGACCTCATTGTAACATATCCAGGTATGCATGCATTATTTCAATATTCTTAATAGTAGTGTACTTACAACAGCAACAGGATCATTGCTTCGGGTGGCTGCAAGACTGAAATATTTCACATGTGTATTGGTTTCCAAAGCCTTTGCAAAGTCTTTTAGGGTTGGAATTGGGATATTCTTGAAAGACAGTAACATGTAACATATTTCATTTTAGTTTTTAAATTCAGTCCATTAATTAAATATACTTGTACTTACTTTCTGTTTTAAAAGATACTCAGAAATTATAATAACAAGTTTATAAATGAAAAATAGCAATGTTCTCAAAATCTATGTGACTTCTCTATATTGGTGCATTTGCAGAAACATACCACTATTTCTCTAGCACTTCAGTTAAAAGAAACTCACCATTCTACTTTTAATTGTTTTAGTATATGAAACCAACCCCTGATTGTCTAAAATGGAACCACTTTTCTCTAAGAAGAGAGATGTGAAGTCTGCCTCCACTGAGTATGATTCCTGAGGTAGATGACATACTATTCTCAGTTGCTTAGTTTACAGATTTAGGAGAGATTAACCCTATACTACCTAAAGGAGGAAAATATGGAAAGCACTGATTGCTCTGGTGGGCAATCAAGATGCCAAGTCCCTATAGTCTTGCAGTCTTCAGATCATTAATCTTTACTTAGAAACAAAGAGATACAGGGAGTGAATTAAAAAAAAAAAAAAAAAACCCAGACAATTAGTGATCACTAAGGATACCGATTTTCTCCAAGACCTTCTTTCCTCCTAACTCATTTCTTCTTTCCTTACTCCAAGGAAGAGTTGCATTGTTTAAAAACCAATAAAATCTCAGAAAACCCATTTCTAGATTATTTACCCAAGAGAAATAAAAACATATGTTCACATGAGAACTTGTACTGTAGTTTTATATGTAATCATCCCCAATTAGAAGCAACCAATATGGATAAACACACTGTAGCATATCCACAGGATGGAACGATACTCAGCAATAAAGGAACAAAATCCTGATACCTGCAACAACAGGCAAATCTCAAATACATTACGCCAAATGAGAAAGCCAGACTCAAAAGGCTACATTCTGTATGATTCTTTTTACATGACATTCTGGAAAATGCAGAATTATGGAGAAAGAAAATAGACTGGTGGTTGTCAGGGGTGAGTTGTGGGGAAGAGAATGACTACAAAGGGGTATGAGGAACTTCTGGGGTAACAGACATGTTTTATATCTTTACTTTGGCAATGGTCATACAACTGTGTATATTTGTCAAAACTCAGAACTGTATACTAAAAGGGAGAATTTTACCACATACAAACAACACCTTAAAAAAATTTAATTTGGCAAGATGTGGTGGCGCATGCGTGTAATACCAGAAGCTCGGGAGGCTGAGGCAGGAGGACTGCAAGTTCAAAGCCAGCCTCAGCAAAAGCAAGGTGCTAAGCAACTCAGTGAGACTCTGTCTCTAAACAAAATACAAACTAGTGCTGGGGATGTGGCTCAGTGGTCAAGTGCCCCTGAGTTCAATCACCAGTTCAAAAACAAACAAACAAACAAACAACAAAAAGAAACTAATTTAAAAAACAATAACAGAGCTGGGGACTAGCTCAAAGGTAGAGCTTTTGCCTCCTACGAAAAAGGGCCTGGGTTCAATGACCAGTGCCACAAAACAAACAAAACCCCAAAGACTGAAGTTCTTCAAAGAAGGCAATACTTTAAAGGTCAGAGAGATTTAGAGAGTTTTTAGGGCGTACACTTTATATAATAAACTCTTTTAAAAGTAAGTAAAAAACACTATTCTATAATACTTTAWTTTCCAAAATTTGAAGGAACCTATATTACTACATGCTCATGAGCAAAAACTTTACCTTAAAGTAGAATCAGACTACTATATCAAAATTACCCCACTGTTATCCTAGGTTCAACTAATTCAAAGCAATACAAAACAACTTTATTGTCTGCTTAACACACTTACCTTTATGTTATTCAAATTAACTTCAACAAGATGAGCATCGTTTTCTTTAATTCTCTTTAAACTCTCTTCAACGTTGGTTGGATTTGGTGGCTCATCAAATGCTGGAAGAATCTTTTCACCTTTCACTACATCTGTGGTAAACAATGAAAAGAGCAAAAGTTGACGGATTGAGAATGGATTCACACAGTTACTTGGTAACACACACCCGTCTCTCTCTTTCACACATGCACACACACATACTTAACAGAATAGATTTAAGAGTCCCTTCTCCATAATTCCTAAAAGAACCTTTATGTGTTGACATATACATATAAAGTTGAAATAAGATATTATTAAATACAAACACCAAGGGAAGAGCAGGCTCTTTCTCATTTAAATTCATCAAGACAGTCTTCTTCAAGATAGCAAATCAAGGGAGATGGGGAAGTTCTTTCTCACTGAATGGAAAATTTAGTGTGTTCTATATATATATTTTTTTTAAATATACAAAGCATAGGTTTATTTTTTTTATTTTATTTTTTTTAAAGAGAGAGTGAGAGAGGAGAGAGAGAGAATTTTATTTATTTTTTAGTTCTCGGCGGACACAACATCTTTGTTGGTATGTGGTGCTGAGGATCGAACCCGGGTCGCACGCATGCCAGGCGAGCGCGCCACCGCCCGAGCCACATCCCCAGCCCCTAGTGTGTTCTATATTTTATAAAATCAAAGGATTTCTTTTCCCATTCAACAGAATATGTATATTTAAAGAGCCCTGCCCCTTAATGAAACAAGGGATCTGGCCAATGGGATGCTGAAATCATTAGGTAAATAAGGAGCTTTACACAGATGATCTGATTACCAACATCTGAATCTACTGATCAATCTTAACAAGTTCCCCAAAGATGAGGATCAGTCTCGATAAGCTGCTACTGCTGTTTCTTTCTTTTTTGGTACAAAGGATTGAAAACAGGGAGGCTTAACCACTGAGCCAATCCCCAGCTCTTTTTATTTTTCATTTAGAGACAGAGTTTCACTAAGTTGCTTAAGGCCTTCCTGAGGCTGCTGAGGCTAGTTTTGAACTTGTGATCCTCCTGCCTCAGCCTCCCAGCGGCTGGGATTACATGCATATGCCATCATAAGCTTACATGATAAGCTTCTTAATGTGATTCAATCACCAACTGTGAGGCATTCTTAAAAAAACAAAACAAAGCCCTGCAGCTGAATCTGATCAAGCCACTAGACTGAACAGAAACAAAGGAGACACGAAAAGTAACATCATGGGGTTGCAATCAGCTGAATCCAGGGTGTAGACATTTTTACTTGAATGAAACCCAGTTTCTTCAAGAAATAAATGACATGAAAAAGTGGGGTGGGGGGAAGAGCCAGTTGAGGAGAACTGTTAAGAAATTAAGAGAGACTGGAAAATCAAATAACCAAATGCATTGTGTAACCCTTATTTGGATCATGATTTAAACCAAGCATGAAATGACATTTTTGAAAGAACATGGAAAATCTGGACTTGCAATGGATTTTGGAGATATGGAAAAATTATTCATTTTTAAGTTTAACAATGGCATGTGGCTGTTAAAAAGAAATGACTTGGCTAGGCTTGTTGGGGCTGAGACTGGAGGATCAAAGCCAGCCTCAGCCACAGGGAGGTGCTAAGCAACTCAGTGAGACCTTGTCTCTAAATAAAATACAAACATAGGGCTGGGGATGTGACTCAGAGTGCCCCTGAGTTCAATCCCTGGTACCCTTCCCCCCGCAAAAAAAAAAAAAAAAGACTTCTTTGAGACACATATGGAAAATATTTACAGATGAAGTAACACAAGTGAACAGGATTGGCTTTAAAATACTTAAGAAAAAAAAAAGTGGATTAAGTTGGAAGTGAGGCAGAAGGTAGATGAAACAAGGTTGGCAAAATGTTAAAATACAGCTGAAACTAGGAGATGAATACATTATTCTTTTTTTATGTATATTAAAACATTTCTTAAAGAAAAAGTTAAATTTAAACTGGGGAGGATGGCCATATTATATAAAACAATGTTGTGAAGATGTCTGAATGAGGTATATCTATATATGCTAACCAGGAAACATAGTACATTGCTGAGTGATTTACTCCACAGCATGTGTTAAAACTGCTGATTGTGTGTGACAGTGAGGCTCCTTAAGTCTTCATTCTGAATCCTAGCTCCCTCACAGGCAAATTAAAGATAATAACAACAACAATAATAATAATACTTATTTCACAGAACTGTTGTAAGGATTGAGAATAATCCACATTCAGAAACTGTGCCCAAAAAAACATGGCCACAGAAAACACTGAAAAAAAAATTAGCCAATAGCATTATTACTGTAAGGTGCAAGGAATATTTATAATATATCACTTTAAAAAAATTCAAACAACTCCCCCCAAACAATTTATATTATATATAACATATATAGATTTGTATAAACAGTAAAGTCTAGAAGGTTATATATCAAATTGTTAACAGGATGGTAGTGGAGGAGTAGTGGGCACAATGACTGTGGTGGAGATATTTTTACTTCTTATCCTTATACACTATTTAAACGTGCTACAAATCATGTTTTGCCTTAAGAATTTAAAAACACTTTAACAATGTATTTTTTAAATTAAAAAAATATATATTTATTAAAAAAATGTTTTAAAAAGCCATTTAATATTTCAAGCCAGACTGAAAGGCTTAGGGGCTGAATACTTTTGTGGTTTCTCCTGAATCTGATTTTATAACATAGGTTCTTTGAACTGCTTTGAATTTCTAAGAAATCAGCAATAACAATGACAACATGTCAATAAAAACTAAGTCTAACTAGTTTTTTTTTTTTTGAGGTTCTGGGGATTGATTCCAGGGTCTTGCATACTAAGTTTTATATTGCTTACTGTTAATATTATTTACTGAGATAACAGCAGTTCCTAGTACATTTGCTAACAAATTAAGCAAAAAGTATTTATTACTTTATTTTCAATGGCTTTCTTTGTCAATATCATCAAACTGAAATTTTATTTCAAGTACATATATACAGTATTTGGTATATAAATACTAAGACTAATACATGAAGAAAACAATATATTTAGTAAAGGATTGGAATTCACAAAATATTTTAAGTACTCACTTGAAAAATGTCCTTTATCAACACCATTACTACTTCCCACTATATCACAAAATTGTGTATTTGTTATCAAATTATGCATCCCAAGAATAGCTGTAAATATAGGAAAAGAGAATTAGGCTTTATTTCCATCTGCTTTAAACTCCCCTCCCATCTCAAGACAGAGTCCTGCTCTGTTGTCCAGGCTAGTCTCGGGTTCAAGTGATTCTCCTGCCTCAGTCTCCCAAGTAGGTGGAACTATAGGTTTGCACCAATGTACCTGGCTTGCAACCAAAAATTGTTATCAATAATTTTAACATGCTCCAGATACTTTTTTACTAACTAAACACAAATTTTATAGTAAAAGAGGAGATAATGTGATTAAAAATCACCTACAATCTCATCCTCACAAATACCCTTGTTATTTTCCTTCCGATTTCTGAATTTAAGATTACCCCACACTTTAAAATTCAGATTCACAGCTGAAGTCAGCCTAACCATATTTAAGGTAAACCAGTGCTTAGCTCCATCTGGTGGCTAAAAAAGAAAATTGATCGATTTATCTCAATAAGGTTTCGAGGAACATAATGCTAATAAAGACAGGTTTCAACTTATCTCTGCTATTTTTTAATTTTTTTAAGTTGTCAATGGACCTTTACTTTTATTTATATGTGATGCTGAGAATCAAACCCAGTGCCTCACACATGGTAGGCATGCACTCTACCACTGAGCTGCAACCTCAGTCCCTCTGCTATTTTTATATTTGTTAAATTCATGTCATTTAAGTTACATTTGCATTCTAGCTAAGATTAGAATACTATTAAATTCTCAAAGAATAAAGTAGCATCCCTCAGGAAATAAGTTTAATGTTTGATGCCTTTTTGTACAAATAAGGCAGAAGTTTCAGTATGCCCCTGACCCATTTCACTCTTATAAATGTACATCTACAAATCCACCAGTCCTCAGTCCCTCAAGGAATATAGCGCATGCTCTGTGACACCACACTTCAACTTTCCTCTTCCAAGGTCCTTCCCAAAGAACCATCATTACTACTTTCAAACATGTTAGTTCTTGGGGTTATTTGGTACTAAGATCTACCCATGTGTCACATTTTTCTGTTGAGAAAAATGGCAGAGATTTCACTCGTCTATATAAGACAATGATGAAAATAATAAGAGAGTTTGCAGTGCTCCATATACACTTTAGAAAAGTTAGCAAAGTGGCAAGTAAAATTCAGAACTGACTGATCCACTTGCTTTCCAGTGACCTATCTCTTGGTCTTCTGATAAAATGGGGCAGCAATCGACCCTTGAAGACTCTTTCAGTTTTCAGATAGGACAGCTTCTAGCCCAGCACACGGTGATGAAAGATTTTTATCAAAACTTTCAAGTACGGCAACATAGAAGTGTCAAATATAAAATAAATCCTTTTAGTGTAAACACTTCACTATTGAGAATACTTAAAGAAACCTGCATGTCAGATTGCTGTGTGAAATACAAAGCCAAATATATGGTTACTCATCTTTAGCAGGTTGTTAGGCAAAGCAAGCATTTGTAGGATGGATACTGGTGCATCCTTTGGTCTCTCCCCATCCCAGGTACTCATTCATAAATTTGTTTTAGGGATACCTGCAAGGTCACACAATTCTGTATCAGAAGCACTCATCAAAGCTTCTTCTAATTCTGGATCAACAGATACACTTTCCTCTGTCAAAGTCTGTACAGGTTTCTGTTTGGGGATAAATATTTTTCCTGTAAAATAAAAACATTTTATTAATTTCACTACTATAGTTATTTAACTCATTACCATTTTACCTTTCTTCCAACAAACATTATTAAAAGTATACACAACCAAAGTTGAAGGAAAAGTCAAGATTAACATCCAGTGATTGTTTCATTTTTTATGCAGATTTATTGAATTTCCAGAACAATACCTTAGAAAGAAAAGATAACAGAAATTTTCCCACCTGAGGAAATAAAAATGGGCTCTTTTTAGAGTAATTATGAGTTGCTTTATAAATACTGACTCAATAAATAAATGAATAAGCAAAACCCACAATACTTTTAAAAAAATCCAATGTCTAGGTTTTTTTTTTTTAATTTATTTTTTTTTAGTTGTAGTTGGACACAATACCTTTATTTTGTTTGTTTATTTTTATGTGGTGCTGAGGATCAAACCCAGGGCCTCACACGTGCTAGGTGAGCGCTCTACTGCTGAGCCACAACCCCAGCCCCAATGTCTTGTTCTTAAGCAACAAATTGCCATAGTCACTTGAGGAATGGTAGAAGCAATCAAGACTCTAGAAATTTAATTTCTACTTACAAAGAAATTCCCATATGTTCTGAGTGGTATTCTGAAACTCTTGATCACTGTGCCTCTAAGCATCAATGGACACTAAGAAGGTTATCTGTGCTGGGCATCTCCCACATGTGACTATTAAGTTATAGTGAGAATAATGATTTTTTGCAACTCCACATCTTCAAGTCTTTCGGATTATCAAAATCAAACCCAGTGCCTCACATATGGTAGGCACTTAAAAAAAAATGGCATTTGGTCAATCCAAAATGTGTTTGGATTAGTAGGGCTGAATTAAGTGAATATTAACAGAATGCTCAATTAAAAGTAGTTTAAATTTGTGCCTCCCAAGCATTAATGTGCACTGCAGTAACCTGGTGACTGATTAAAGTGCAAATTCTGACACAGCAGGTCTGAAGTGGGGTGGGAGATTCTGCATTCCTAACCATAACCTCCCAGATGATGCTGACACTGCTTATCCATAGAATATTCTTAAAGCAGCAAGGATTCAACCAGTAAGGATGTTTATTATCTCAATAACAAGGTTCTAGGGTTTAGCAGCTCAATGTTGAAATGAAGAATCCAGGCTCTTTCCACGTTTCTTTCTGGCTGCTCCAGCATGAAATCCTTTGTTCTAAAGCCTTCAAAGTCTCAAGATGGCCTCTACAGTGCCAATTGTCTGTCTCCATGAAATAAGACAGGAAGGAAAGAAGGGTACTTTCTCAATTGTCAACTTTTACAAGAAAAACTTCCTCAGACTTCTCTGGTCTTACCTACCAGCAATGGGTCACATGTTCATGCCTCAGCTTCAAAGGTAGCTTTGAAGGAATCATTGCTGAATGGGCAATGAGTATTTATCCCAATATTGAAAGCAAGTGAAGTACCGTCTATTTCCTTAATTCCCTGAACATTTACCCATGGCTACATTTACATATTCTGCACATGTGCCTGAATTCTTCAAACTTTTCAAGGACATGGTCTACATTCTGTTCATCCTGTGTCCTTGCCTAGAGCATAGTAAGCAATCCAACTTGTTTGATAAATAATTTGGTGATTATCTCCAGATCAATGACCTCACTTTATAAAGTATAATTTAAATATGTTGGTTCAAAGTAACGGCAGAACTAACTCAAGAGGAGAAGTTCTCAAACTTTTTTTGGGGGGGCAAGGATACTAGGGGTTGACCCAGGGACACTTTACAACTGAGCTAAATCACCAGTCCTTTAAAAATTTTTAATTTTGAGACAAGGTCTTGCTAAGTTGCTGAGGCTGGCCTTCAACTTGTGATCCTCTTGCCTCTGCTTCCTAAATTGCTGGGATTACAACTATGTACCACCACATCCAGCGAGAAGTTTCCAAACTCCTAAGTCAGTCCTTTTTTCAATAAACTAGTGGCTTACAGACTTAATTTTTTTTTAGTAGTAGACTTCCCCCCACCATAAAAAAAAGCCAAATTATATGGGAGTATACATAATTGATCTTACTATCAAATTTTGGAGTTCTGGTGATTAGATAATCTTTTATTATTGGTCACAGAAAAAGACAAATAGCAAATCATCATGTTCTGATAATTCCATGGTAGTTTTTACTGTTGATATTAAAGGATTTCAGTGCATAGTATCCAAGGTTGAGAACCAATGGATTATGGAATTTGTTGACTGATTAAAAAAAAAAAAAGGTAGTATGCCCATCTATGACTAAAAAAAAAAATTAAAAAAATTGAAAAGTGAAGTAATACTATGTTAAATAGCTTCATTTAGTCTTCCTAGAGTATATATATATACCAAAATATCATGTTGTACACCACAAATATACATAGTTTTTATTTGTCAGTTAAAAAAAAAAAAAGACACTTGGCCTACAGGTTCTAGGGGTATATAGTTAAGTGGTAGAGCATGTGCTCAGTATGTACAAGGCTCTTTCTTGATTCAATTCCCGGCACCAAAAGAAAAAAAAGAAAAAACTAATTTAAAAAAAGTGGCATACTGGGGCTGGGGTTGTGGCTTAGTGGCAGAACGCTTGCCTAGCCTGTGTGAGGCACTAGTTCGATCTTCAGCACCATATAATAAATAAATAAATAAATAAAGTTTTTTTTTTTTTTTTTAAAGTCGAATATACAGTTCAGGGGGCATGACTTTAATTGCCACTTCAGATTGATTATATTTTCCTGAGCTCAGTCTCTCACTTGCATTTTCAATTGTCTATGGCAGTGGTTCTCATTGTTGGAAGCACAGTGGATTTTCCAGGGAGCTTTAAGAAATTCTGATATCTGGGCTGGGGGTGTAGTTCAGTGGTAGAGTGCTCACCTCACATGTGGAAGGCACTGGGTTTGACCCTTAGCACCACATAAAAATAAAATAAAGGTATTGTGTCCATCTACAACTAAATATATATATAAAAGAAATTCTGATATTCAAATTTTGCAACCCCATCTTACCCTATGCCACTCCAGTCAGATTCTGGTTTAACTGGTCTAGTGTGCTGTTTGGGGCTCTTGAAGGACTCCAATGCATAGTATCCAAGGATGAGAACCAATGGATTATGGTATTTACTGACTAAATAAAACTACACAAGCTATTTACCATAAAAAATTGAAAAGTGGGGGCTGGGGTTGTGTCTAGCACATGTGAGGCCCTGGGTTCGATCCTCAGCACCACATAAAAATATATTTAAAAAAATAAAGGTACTGTGTCCAACTACAACAACAACAACAACAAAAAATGAAAAGTGAGGTGATACTTATGCTAAATAGCTGCATTTAGTCTTCCTAGAGTATGTATATATACCAATACATCATGCTGTACACCACAAATACATACAATCTTTACTTGTCAATTAAAACAAAACAGAAAGAAAACCAAACAAACTATTGAATACTTGCCTATGTCTTATTCAAGGATCTAATGGACTCTAAAGCATTACTAAAATCTAAGATGTTTATTTTTGTAATCCTCATCCACATTTATTTATTTATTTTTTTTGAGAGAGTGAGAGAGGAGAGAGAGAGAGAATTTTTAATATTTATTTTTTTTAGTTCTCGGCGGACACAACATCGAACCCGGGCCGCACGCGTGCCAGACCAGCGCGCTACCGCCTGAGCCACATTCCCAGCCCCTCATCCACATTTATTAAGAAGTCTCATACATGTCTAATTTTTCCCATGTACAAACTTTTGCTAATGCTTTAACAACAAAATGAATCTCATCATAAAAAGCAATAGGGMTTCAGCCAGAGACATGAAAAAATGTGCTCTATTTGTGTAATATGAATTGGACTGCATTCTGCTGTCATTTATAACTAATTAGAATAAATAAAATAAATGCAAAGAGTAAAAAGCAACAGGGCAAAAGAAAACAAAACTCTCAAGGACCTATGGATTCTTTGATAAGAGAATTTTCCTCTATTTATAAAGCTCTCACATAGTTTGCTACCTCTTCTGGCACTCCTTTTTATGATAATTTCTCTGTATGTAAAAAAATTTTGCAGTAAAAAAAGAACGTCATAGGGCTCACCTACCAAACCAGTTTGGCTGTTCACTACTGGGAAGCAGTGGCATGTTCTGCTGTTTATAAGTTGACTACAAACTGAAATTTGTATAATATTCCTGTGTATCTACTCGATTTCCCATATTATTGCACAATTCCTTGGAGGAACATTTTATTGCTGAAACATGAGGTAGGGCAACACCTTGAACTTTAGAGGACATGGAAATTTTCCAAGGTGTCATGGTGCATTTATGTTTGGGATGGGGTGGGTGCATGTTTTCCTATTTGGAAATATATCCTCTGAGAAGCCTCTACAAAATGTTTTAAAACTATGTGCAAAACAAAGTAGTCCTGAGCACATGAGATATTTGCAACTGTATTTCTGGACTATATGCTATGAGCAAATATTTAGATCCTTAAAGAAGGTAGGAATTCAATATTTTTAGTGTAATAAAAGAACTCATAGTCTATTACACTTCAAAAAAATTGCTGTAGAGATATTTAGCTTTATAATATTGTGTTTTAAATAACACAATTTTAATCCCTTTGTATTTTCTTCATGGTTAATTTAATACTAATACACTGCAAGAATTTTTTAAAGGCACAAACACAAAATCTAGTTATACAAAACAATACAAAATTTAAAGAGTGTCTACATATTGATTTACAGACTTAAACAATCCCTTTCAAAATCCTAGTTGCCCATTGTTGATTTTGATCTGGAATGTCCCCCAAAGGCTCATGTACTAAAGTCTTGGTCCCCAGTGCAGCAACACTCTGAGCTAAGGCTCTGGGGAAGCAACTGGATCATGAGGGCTCTAACCTCATCAGAGGACTAATCCATTGATGGATTCATAGGTCCATTGGGAGGTGGTAGAAACTATGAGGTGGGAGCCAGTCAAAGGGAGTGGGTCCTTGGGGGTGTGCCCTTGGGAACTATATTTTGTCCCCTGCACCTTGTTTTTTCTCTC